GTGCCAAGGTCAGGCTCCACCCTTCCCTGCTTTATTGGGTAAGATGGTCAAGGCTTCCTTGGCCCTGACATCAATTTACTAGGCTCCTACTGACAGCTTCCACTTCCCTTGGTGTGTTTGTAATCAAATATCTCAAGCACGTTTCTGTCCTCCCCTTAGATTGTCTTAGGTCACAGCATAGTAGTCTTTAGCCCATTCCCCTCCACAACTCACGTGTCCTAGATCAGTTATGGCAGGTCTCAGGCCCCCAGTGAATATGGCACTTCACTTTCAACACCTCTGCCCTCTTCCCTTCTTCCCCCTTGATTATTCTTGGTCAAAGCGCTGGGAAGAAAAATGGGTTCTAGGTTAGAGCACAAGTGGTCAAGGGTCTACTCATAGCTGCTATAGTCCTCAAGATAACCATCCCTCTTAGGTATACTAAGTTTTTTCTGCTAGTCTCCTCGTAGATCTACAGTGTACAACCTTGGATGTGGCTTTCCTCACTGCATCTCATCTAGGCTCTGCCCCTAATGCAGACACTGTTCTAGGACCCTGACAGGAAGTCCAAAATCCTCCAGACCTTTGGAAACTCATAGCCTTCCTATGGTCAGGGAAGGACAAAGGATGAAACTGAGACTAAAGCCAGGACTTTCCTCCCTTCACTCCTTCTCCCACCACCACCACCCCCCTCCCCCCTGTCCATGGGGTTTTCTTTGCAAAGATACTGGAGGGGTTTGCCATTTCCTTCTCTAGGGGATTAAGGCAAATAGAGGTTAAGTGACTTGCCCAGATCATACAGCTAAGTGTCTGAGGCTGGATTTGCACCTAGGTCTTCCCGACTCCTGGTCTAGTGCTCTATCCACAGTCATCTAGCTGCCAACTTTTATGATGGCAGATATTCAAATGTCTCATTCCAAATTGGCTCACTGATTTTATATAAGCCCCACAGGGTTTGACCAATTCTCAACCAATTCAAATCTATTTCTTACCCAACATCAATTCAATAGAATTCAAGGACTTCTAAACTGATTAAGGACTTCTCCCATCTAGTAAAGTCTTTAACAGTTCTTTCTTAGTGAAGATAATTACTCTTAAGTGGGGTCATTGATTTAATGGATCCCCACCCAACAACCTCCCAGGGTTGTTCAGTTATTTCAGTGTCTGACTCTTTGTGACTCCATTTGGGGTCTTCTTGGCAAGGTTACTGGAATGGTTTGCCATTTCTTTCTCCAGATCATTTTACAGTTGAGGAAACTAAGGCAAACAGAGTTAAGTGACTTTCCCTAGGTCCCTAGGTAAGTGCCTGAAGCCACATTTGAACTCAAGTCTTCCTGACTCCAAGCCTGGTGCTCTATCCATTTCATCTCTTAGGTGCCTTCCTTTAATGTTTACAAAGTGCTTTCTTCATAACAATCTTGTGATATAACTTACCCAAGTATCGTAATCTCTATTTTACAAATAAAACGAAGGTCAAAGGTGTTAAATAACTTGCCCACGATAATACAGCTAGGAGTTTCAAAGCTAAGGATGGAGCTCCAACCCTGAAAACAACTCCTTCTCTTTCTCTGTCTGTTTCTTAAGTTTCTACTTCAAACCCTCATCTGGCTTTGATGAAACTTTTAAAACAAATTCTGAAGAAGCTACAAACTCCACTGTAGCCCAATTTTATTCATTCTTTATATACTAGATTGTTTAGCAAGTACAGCTAAGAGGACCGTCATTCAAAGCTTCATTACCAAGTTGGCACTATCTAATTAAGCAGACTTTATCACCCTCGTGCAGTCTAGGGTGTGTCTAAAAGAATAGGGTATGTTTATCAGATCCGTGTTACTGGAAATAATGTAACTTCAGCCTATCACTCAGGCCAGGACATGCAAATATGCCTACATCTTTTAGTGTCTTTTTATTTCTATATAGGCAACACAGTCTAATCCCTTCCTGATCAATGCCCTGTTGTGGCAGAGTGGCTTAATGAAACTATGAACTACACCATACCCAAGAAGGTCATAGTGGAGAGTTCTGATAAAAGGTGATCCACAGGAGAAAGAAATGGCAAATTACTCCAGTATCTTTGCCAAGAAATCCCCATGGAAAGGGGCCTGGCATGCTATGGTCCTCAGGATTAGACTTGGCTGAGTGATAACACTAATTGGAGGGAAAAAAAAGCAAAAAACTTGTACCTCAGGAGTCTGTGATAAAATTATTTAATATCTCTGAGACTCAGTTTCCTCGTATGTAAAAGGTAGTATAATAATACTTGCATTACCTACCTCAGTGTTGTGGGGATCAAATCAGATAAAATCTTAGTCAACTAAGCATTTATTAAGTACCTACTAAGTGCCAGGCATTGTGCTAAGCTAGCTCTGGGGATACAAAGAAAGGTAAAAGCCCCTGCCCTTAAGGAGCTCACAATCTAATAGGGGAGACAATAAACAACAATGTACAAACAAGATATATACAAGATAAATTGGAAATAGTCTGACCCATTAGGGAAGATTAGGAAAGGTTCTTTGCAGAAAGTGGGAATTTAATTGAGACCCGAAGGAAGCCAGAGAAGCTGGAAGGCAGAGAGTTCCAGGGCATATGGGACAGCCTTCAAAAACACTCATTGTTGGAAGGGACCAAGTAATAGAGGATTTTAAAAGCTAAACAGGTTTTTATATTTTATCTTGGAGACAATAGGTAATAGGGGAAGTAAAGAAAGAAAGAAGGAAGAAGAAGGGAAAGAAGAGAGGAAGGAAGGATGGATGGATGTGTTAAGTACCTACCAAGTGTTCAATCTTCACAACAACTCTGGGAGATAGATGCTATTGTTATCCCCATTTTACAGTGAGGAAATTGAAGTGGGCAGATGTCAATCAATTTGTCACAGGGCTAGTCAGTGTCTCTGGCCAAATCTGAACTCATGTCTTTCTGACTCTATGACCAGAGCTCTACCCACTATGCCACCTAGCTTACCTAGCAGGGGTGATGCGGTCAGATTTGCACTTAGGAAGATAAATTTGATATTTAAGTACAAGATGGATTGGAGTAGGGAGACTTGAGGTTAACCAACCAGAAAGCTGTTGCAATAGTCCAGACATAAAATAATTAGGGCCTATAACTTAAGGTGTTTTATAAATGGAAGCTATTGTTTTACAGAGTTTGTATTTTTTTGGGTCTGAAACAGGGAAAAATTTTTCCATACGGTGAGCTTCTTATGTCTAAGCTCCTTCCATGCAGATGTGAAACTCTTCTGCAACTTCTGACCTTAGAGAGTTATCTGGAGCACTGAGAGGTTAAGGGATTTTCTGTTCAGGGTCACACAGTTTGTGTAAGAAGTAGGACTTGAACTCAAATTGTTTTGATCTGGAAACAGGCTCTCTATCAACTACACCATTCTCCCTCTTAAACGATTGTTTTTGTCATATAATGGGGATAAGGATAATGATTACAATTTGAAAGAAAGACTGCATCAGAGAACTAACGAAGCAGGCACGTAATAAATGCTCGGTGACTCCAAGTAATGTCCCGTACTGTTTCATCAATGCCTCACCTGTTCCTATTCAAAAACATGGTTAAACTTGATCCCACCGAATCACCCTAAGATGCAAAAAAACCAAACACAACACTCAACCAAACCCGTAAGGAAGCAGCAGGGTGGCTTGGAGTGAAGTGGAAGAAGAGGGGAGATCCCTCCTAGCTCTGCAGCAGCCTGGGGGCAAAGCCCGCGGTGGGTACAAAGCCTAGGCCCCCACAGGAAGAGATCATGGCTTCCCTAGAATTATCCGGAGCGTCTTCGATTTCGATTTCGAGCTAGAAGAGACCTGTGCGATCACCTGGACGGCCGGACCCGAGCCGGGGGTGCCGGGTGTACTTCCGGGGCTTCGGGATGGGCAGCAAAGCCCACCTCGGACCCAGACCGTAGGTGTGTGCCTGCCGGCACTTCCTGATCTCCCTCCCCTCCCCCACCAGCCTCAGTGACATCATCTGTCAAGGGGAGGGGGAGGGGTGAAGGATAAAATCTGCAATATCCAAGGGGCGGCTCAGAAGAGATAAAAAGTAGGGGAGGGTGGGCCAGCTTTAAGGACAGTTCACCACAATAGTCCGGAACGCGAAGCCTACGGGATAAACAAAGGCCTGGAGGCCTGGGGGCGGGGGGAGGCTGCCCCAGCCCCCCCCCCCCCCCCCCCCCCCCCAGGCCCGAGCTCGGCCTTTCACCCACTCAAGCAGTTAGGCGTCTCCGAATCAGACCCGCCTCCCTCGGGGGCGCAGCCTTAGGCCCCGGACAGCGGGGCCGGTTCACCGCCCGGCTCGGTCCGCCCCGCCGGCTCACGCCCCCAAAGCCCCCGCTTCCCCCCAAGTTGGTCCTGTCAGGTCCGGAGCGCTGGCACTCACCTTACGGCTCACTGGCCGCCCCGGGCAGCCCTCGGAGGCGGGAAGGGCCCAGGTGGTGGGGGAGGTCGCCCTCCACCGTTAACCGCATCCCATCTCCCCAAGGGACTGCGACCCACAGCCGCGGCGGCCTCGTCAGGGTACCACCTCACGACCGGCACAGCCCGGCAGCCTGTGAGAGGGGGGGGCGGGGCAAGAAGCGGGGCCAATCGGGCGAGGCGGGGCGGTGCGAGGCCGGGCGGAGGGGGCGGGGCGGCATAGCCCGAAGCCCGCCCGAGGAGACCAGGCCGGGAGGCGTGGGGCGGTGCCACGAGGGCGAGAGAAAGGGGGCGTGGCATCCCGGCGGGAGGGGGCGGGGCGCACCAGCAGGGATAGGCTAGGCCCGGGGGAGAGGCGGGGCTGCGGAGGGGCTGCGCGAGGCCGTCGCTCTTATGACTGACAGCTTTTCAAATCTTCAACCGCCGGCGGCCTGCGAGGCCCCGCCCTTCCCCGAGCCTTCTCCGGTCCCTCCCCCTCCCCGCTCGCCCGCGCGCACTGGGCCCTGCCCCCGCCCCCCAGCCTGCCCCGGAAACGGAGGCAGCCGACTGGGACCTCTCCCTTCCCGCCCCGGTAGGCGGCCCGGCTACAGCAGCGGCGGGGCCCGCGGGAGCCGGCCCCAGCATGTGGACCGCGGCGCGTTGGCCATGAAAGCCGGCACCATGAGGATCCGCAGCAAAGGCCATCACCCGGGTAGATTTCACCTCTGGTCTCTTTCACCACCCACCCCACCCCCCGCTTCCTCCCTCCCCCCCTTCAGAATGCCCCCTCCCGCCCCACGGGGGGTCCTGTTCTGCGCCCCTCGAACCCCGGCCGCCGCCCCTCCCCCATTCGGCATGGCATTTGCGCCGTGGGCCTCGGCCCCTCCGCGCCGGTCTTGGATCCCTTGTGCTCGCTTTGGGCTCCCCGACAGAGAGAGGTGTGAAGAGGCTCGCGGGGCCCTGGCCTTCACCCGATGGCATCCCCCCCTCTGGAATGAGAAAGGGAAAACGAGCAGGTTTCTGTGTGCCCGGGTCTCAGAAGTTTCCCTATTCCCCGGCGACTTTGTGGCATAAGTAATGGATGACCCTGGGTCCGGGGGCCAGCTGCTCCTGCAGAAAAATAAAGTAGGTAAATGCTGGGCCCCAGCCTGGAGCTCAGGCCTCAGAACATCGCCAGCAGCACGTGGGCGCTTGGAGGGGGAGTTGTCCGTCCCCACCTAACACTTCGTGGTGCCCCGCATTTAGAAAGTGACCTTCTCGAGGGCAGGAGCCATGGTTGGGCCTAGCACAGCTAGGACGTCATAAGCATTTAAGTGCTTGTCGACTGATTTCGTAGGAAAGGAGATGATTCTGTTTCCCTGATTTCTTCGAATAAGTTCTTTGTAGAGCCTCGGGTCTACTATCCTAACCTACTGTTGCATTGGCTAGCTGAGTCCTCGGAAGGAAGTTGCCGGCTCAATTTCTTGGGGTAAGGCTGAAGAGCTGTACTTATAACTTTGTAGCTCACTAGCCCCCACTGGTGTGCTTCCATTTAGAGGTGTGCTCTACATTTCAGTCAGCTCTTAGCTGAGGCGTCACTCGGGTGGCATAGTATGTACAGTAATTATGTAAAACCCCCTACCCTCATCCGAGTTTACTCTCCTACAAATATTCAAAGCAATCTTGGGAGGAGTGAACTTAAAGGTAAGTAGGGAAGCGAATAAGCATTTGTATAACACCTATTGTATGCCAGGCACAGTGCTACTCTCTTTACATATTATCTCATTTGACACCAAAAACTATCCTGTGGGGTAACTCCTATTATTATCCCCATTTTTGCAATTGAGGAAAGGAGGACTAAGGTTAAGTTACTTTGCCCAGGGTCACAAAGCCTGTAAGTTACTGAGATCATATTTGAACTCATATCTTAGTGCTTCTAGGTCCAGCTCTTTCTCTTCTCCATCCTCGCTGTCACTAAGTAGTGAGTAACTCACAGTTTCTTGTACTTCAGGGTTTGAATGTCCTTTCTGTGTGAATCCTCAAGCATCTCCCCTTCAATATACCGTCTTTGCTAGACAAGTAGCTCCATTGAACTCCCAAAATCTGTACTTCTCTTCAACCCTAGATTTGCCAGGAAAGTTCCTTTCTGGAGTGTGGTACTGTGTTCCTCAGTGCTAGGTGCAGTGTCCAAAGCTGCCTTTCAAACAAGCCTTCTAACAAAGCAGTTGGATTAAACAAATCTTTATTAAATATCTACCACAATGGAAGCATTTTTTCTAGGTACTGCGGGGACTAAGATTAAAAAAATGAAACTGCCGTGCCCTCAGGGAGCTTAAGTGGGGAGATGGATGATAAGAGTTACATAGAAAATGAATATAATTTGAAGAGAGACATAGTACTACAAGACTGCTAGGTGGTGAAGTGTATAGAATGCTGGTCCTAGAATCAGGAAGATTCCTCTTCCTGAGTTGAAATCTGGCCTCATGCACTTACTAGCTGTGTGCCCTCCTCAAGTCACTTAACCCTATTTGCCTCCTTCCCTCATCAGTAAAATTGGAAACACTCCAGTATCTTTGCCAAGAAAAATCTCAAATGGGGTCACAAAGAGTTGGACTCAACTGAACAACAATAAATGGTACTATCGATTATGGGGAATCAGGAAAAGCTTCCAGTAGGAGGTAGCGCCGACCTTAACCTTGAAAGTAGCTAGGGATGAAAGGATAATTGTCTAGGCCTGGGAGAAAGCCACAGAGGAAGTCTAGTGTGGGTGGAACGTAGACAGGCACAGTCCAATAATAGGAGTCAAGGTTGAAAAGGTAGGTGTGAGTCAGATTGTGAAAGGCTCTGAATACTAGCTTTAGGAGTTGATATTTTATCCTAGACTCAGTAGCCACTGAAGCTTTTTGAGAACAGGAATGGAATGGAGATGGTCTGATCTGTGTTTTAGGAATAGCATTTGACAGCTCTGTGTGTGAAGAATTGGAAAGACCTGGATAGAGGCAGGGAGGCCTGTGGGAAAGGCTATTGGCAATAGTCTAAATTTGAAGTAAAGAGGACCTGACCTTGGAGAGTGGCTGAAGGAATAAGTGGAGAAAAGGGGGAAAAGGGGCAAATTTGTGGAGGTTGAATCGGTCAAGTGTATATATCATGGATCCCTGTGCCCAGACCTGGGAATAGAAGTAGGATGAATGAAACAAGCCCCACTGGAGAGGAGTGTACCTTCCAATGGGGAAGAAAAGAACGCATTTAAATAGTTAAGTACTAGGTAGTTTGAGAAGTAGAGTATTAGCAGCTGAGGTAATGAGGAAGGGTGAATGTGAATGGAATGTGAACTGCTTCTTGAAGGAAGACATTCCTTGAGGCAAAGGGGAGTACATTCCAAGCCTGTAGGACAGACTCTTAGTGGAAAGGTACAGAAATTGGCCTTCTCCGGCAGACCAGTTGGGCTGGATTTAAGATGAGTGATGGAGGTGGAGGAATGTACAGTGTGTCTGGAATGATGGGTTACGTCCAAGGCTGTGAAAGGCTACAGAGTTTATATTTAAATGAGTGAGATTTGACTGGGTACTTAGTTGGCATCTCTAGCTGGAGGTCCCTTGTTGAGTCGGATCGGACACTTTGTGACCCCATTTGAGTTTTTCTTGGCAGAGATGCTGGAGTGGTTTGCAGTTTCCTTCTCCAGCTCATTTACAGATGAGGAACTGAGGCAAACAGGGTTACGTGACTTGCCCAGGATCACACAGCTAGTAAATGTCTGGGGCTGGTTTAGAACTCAGGTCTTCCTGACTCCAGGCCTGGCAATCTCTCCACTGTGCCACCTAGTCGACCCGTCAGCATCCTAAAAACAGCCTGTCCAAAAGAAAATTTGTTATACCTCCTCCAGATCCCACCCCTCCTCAAACTTTTTTATTTTTGTAAGGCCACTACTGTCCTATCATCCTATAGTCTTTCCTCTCTACCTCATATCCTGTCAGTTGCCAGCTTTTGCTGATCCAAATATAAATTCTGTCCAGCAGCATGAGGAGGCACAGAGTAATTCAGGTTTGGAATTTGACATCAGAGCAGAGGATTCCAGGGCACAGTATAATAGCTAACATTTACATAGGCCTTTAAGGTTTGCAAAGCATTTTATCTATATTTTCTCATTTGATCTTTACAACCCTGTGAAGTAGACATAAGTTTTGCCCTCATTTTTCTTATGAGAAAACCTTGGATCAGAGAGGTTAAGTGACAAGTCCAGGATCACACAGTAAAGTGTCTGAGGCAGAATTTAAACTCAGTTTATCCTGACTTCAAATCCATCTTCATCCATTACACTTACCTACCTAAATTAGTGTGTAGTGGAACTGGTTACCTAGAGCATCAGGTCTGTGAGGGATAAAATGATGGCAGAGCAGGAGTAATACACCAGGACAACAAAAAAATGGAGGTTATGGTGAAGGCAAAGAATTGGTTTAGAAGTGTTCAGAGTTCAGGACCATGAAGGTCACAGAGTTATGGATGATTATGGAATCTAAGGCATGACCATCCCCTGTCCTTAGCCAGTAAAGTGAGGCTTTAGTTCTTAGAAATTAAAGGGGCTGTGGAGCTGGGAGGCCAGGGTGTGTCCTAGAAGAGGCCATTGACATGTATAATGAAATTTCTGAGTGAGAGAACAGGCATTGGAATGGAGAGGAAGGTGGAGCCTGTATTGAACTCCTTCAGGACGTGAGGAGCCTGAGCTGGAGACCTGCAGATCACTGCCTGGAGGTCTGAGTAGGGCCACGAGTGAATGAACCACAAAGGAGAAGAGATTGCTGCAGCCAGGTGGCCCTGCGTTTCAGGGGTGTTGAGGAGGTGCACACACGGTGCTAGAAGCTGTGGCCAGAGAACCTTCATTTGTCATCAGCATCTGGTTTGCTTCTCTTATGGTTCAGTTCTCAGCGAAGCTGATGGTCTTCAGAATGAACTGTTTAACCAGTTCCCAGCTTGCTTTGGACTTGTGTTCCAAAAGTTCATTTGTAAATCTGTTGTTTGGGCCTTGTCTCTAGTGAAGGTTAACAAAAAGGTAAACTGAAGTGTGCTTCTCTAAGCAAGATATCATTTTATTAACAGAGGCCTGATCCCTGCCAATGAAGGGCCAGTGACCTCCTCAGTTTCCAACCAGAGACCCTGAACAAAAGGAGCGCTCTTTTGTAGGTTTTGGGGGACACAGAACAAAGAACAGAATGGGGAAGGTGACCTCGTGGTGTTGGAGGCAACTTGATTGGTTATGGAATCGAGGGGTGAGAAACAATATGATTGGTTGGAAATTGGGAATGGGGGCTGGCAACAATCCCCCTCCTGTCCTGTGAGTAAGAAGTGTTTGTTGTTTGAGTCCACCTGAAAGATAGCTTGGTGTGGTGTAAAGATATTAGGCCTCACTCTTTATGGCCAGCCTCCTTCTCCCAGGGTTAGTAGAATTCCTTGAGACAAGAATTAAACTGTGACTAGCAAGAGAACTGGATTTTGAAACTTAACCCATTATAGGCCAGCTGAATTCTGAACTAAGTGACGAGATAGAGAACAATGACTTAAGCAGTTACAGGACAAAATCTATTAATTGTAAATAGGATCAATAAGAAAATGATACAGGATCAATTTTAATCTTCTCAGACTCAGAATATGTTTTCCTTTAGATGCAGTATTAGCAATGATGGTTAGGTTCCCACAAAAGTCCATTCAACACATAAAATCAGAGCTGAATTTTGAGCA